AAAGATTAGAAATAGTGCAACAACATTGCACGATTCACCTCCCAAAATTTATTCAAAAAAAATTATTTTCTTGTACTCTTTAATCTCCTGTTTAATGGGGGCTCAAGTGTCGGGAGCTCAACTATCGGGGGGCTCAACTGTCGGGAGGCTCAACTGTCGTGTCACCGACCCCGAATTCTTTTTCAAACTATACATAGCAAATTAGTGTTTACATAATACACAGGCTCAATTCAAAAGCGAATTATCAGTTGGAAGTTTTCCATCATTAGTATGTTTATATTTACTTACTCGATTATTACTATATCGATTAGAGAATGATGAATTAAAATTAATACTATTATTGATCGTATCATAGCTCATATGATTCGATTGATGTTCACCTCCATCGAGATTACTATTGAATTGATCATCAACTTCCATAGCTGAACTTTCATCAACTGCTTTGAATAGACCACCAGGAGTTTCCTTGAAAACAAAAAAAAACGAATCAAATATTAAATTTTATTTCTATGACTAGTATATTTCTAATTCGTTTTTAGTCTATGACACAGAAGAAAGAAAGAACAGGAATATTAAGAATAATTACTTGTTTGAGTATCAGTTCTTTACGAAAAGTCCAAATTTCATCAGCAGTTGCTTTTAACGATAATGATATTCTCTAAAAAGAAAAAAGAAAATTATTAGATCATATTATATTTAATATCTTACTTTTAATGGCTTTGATAAACCACGAAGACTATGATCATCACTAACATATTTTGATTCACAAACATAAACATCCGATTCAGAAATTTCAGTTAAACGATCTAAATATAGTACGTATGTCATATATAAAGAAATATCTGAAAGTAAAACTTACGTGTACAGAAATGTTTCAATGAAAGGACTGAGCATTTGCCTTGAATATTATTAAGTGTAATTTGTGTACTTGGACCATCACGTTTAATAAGTTCTCGTTCATAAGAACATTTTGCTGCAATAATCAATTGATCACGATTGATAATATCTGATGGTTGAATAAATACTGGACCACTTATACAATACAAACTTTAAAAAAAAAAAGAAGTTCTCTATCAATATGACTATGAGAAATATGTTCGTTAGGACAAGAAGTCGAAAAATTTGTCTTAGACAATTTCATCATGTATGAATCCTGTGACTTTCTACGAGGATCAAGATTAGGAACATCATTCATGATGAAATACTGTAGTTTATCAGAAAGTCTGATCGACACTTTCTTACGGGTGAATCTAGTAAAATGTTAAATCGTGTTTGAGATGAATCTTATCTCATTTGATAGGTTCGATTGAAATTAAACATAATCTGAAAGGATTTATGCCCATAGGTCTCTTTCAATATAAATTATGATCACTTTAGTAATCTGTTTTTTTTTTCGTACTACTTCAAGATTTGAGTATTAGTGGAATGACTGATAGTAGACTTGAAATAGCTACAAAAATTTTATCGCATAGCTCTGACCTATCTCCTTAGAGTATAGAATTTTTGCTTTTAGTCCTCTGAAGTCGAGCTTATCTTGAAAATGAATTATCATTGACTGAGATTCTTTGAGTATTCAATAGTTTATGCATATATATAGAACATTTAAGAATGTTTTATTTTTGATATCCGAATATGTTATTCAATATTCTTTTGATGACAGTTCAACATATGAATACTTGTCGAAAAATTTTCTCAACTTACTCATTATCTTTCCAAATTTTATCAATACGAAGAATAAATTTTTTATTGGATATATTATTATTATTATTATTATTATTTTCAATATTATTAACATATACAAAATCGCCAACTTTGTAAAAAATATGTGTTGAAATCACAATTTGTTCATAAAATATTCTTTTTATTGATGAATTTTCATTTAATTTATCATTGATAACTGAATCATATAAAATTGTTTCTTTAGGTTTTTCAATAATATCTATACTTATTAATTCATTATCTGTTGTTGATGATCGATGTACTAAATTATTATTAACTAATATTGATGATATACGTATATTTTCAAGTGGAATATCTCTTTGAATTAATTTGACTCGTTTATTTTCTGGTATATTCCATGATTTGATCTTTTTAAATACTTTTGTTTTTATATTATAACGTGATTCACATACATAAACATCTTGATCTTGAAATGACATTTGATCATCAATCATTGGTTGATATTTAAAATAATCCTTTGCATGTAAAACATAACATAAACCTTGAATTTTGTTCATTGGTATATATTCAATTGTTTGAGTTAAGAAAACTTCTTGACGAAGAAATTTATGTGTTGGTGTATGATATGTTTCATTAGGTCGAACAAATTGTAAACCACTTAAATAATCTTCATTATTTTTATGTCCAAAAGATTCAATACAGACAATAAGTGGTTCATTTGTTTCATCATTAGGTTCAATATAGACGAAATCACCTAGATAATAAGTTTGACCTTTGGATAACGAACTTTTTTCTATCGGTGATGTTAATATTGTTGGCTACGAAAAAAAAATAAAGAATACAGTTTAGTTCCATAAGAACATATAGATATAAAGAAGAACTCGAAAATATTATTTATCTAGGATTTTTCTAACTGTAAAGAAAATATATAGGATACTACGTAGTTTTAACTAAAAGACATTTTTAGAAGTCTGTGTCTAGCTGACAGAGTTTGAACGCAACTTGTGTTTATAAAAGCAGATGATTCTAAGTTGCGAGCGCTATATAATGTTCTTTAATATATAATTTCGTGTTTGCGTAGCTTTCAAATTCGTGTGTAAATACAATTGAGGTGAGTATGAATGTGACCTGCCAAGCGAATCTGACTATTTCAATTTCGCTCAAAAAACGGAGTTCAAAGGTGCTTATGAATTATTTATCAGATGTCGCCAAGGCTTCATCTATTCATGATATTAATAAGTTTTCTATATTATGGTCTTACACTAGTACAACTTTTTATGTTGAACACAAGCACTGAATACCTGACTAGAGTCCGTCGGATTGGTGCCGGACACGAAAATTTTAGATCCAATGAGCTCTAATCGTCTGAGAAATGTGTACGGTGAGCTAGTCACAAAAAAAATGGAAAAAAAGTATTTCGTATCTTTGGATAAACTATTCAATTTCGATCAAAAAACTTTAATTGATAACATCAAAGTGAGGTTCGGAAATTTTTGGACCCCTGTAGACTCTATATCTGGCTCACTTATAGAGCTCTACTCAGTATAATCAATACTCATCTTATGTGAAAATTCAAAGAAAAACACAAATCTTACTTGTACCACTTCAACAGAAGTAAGAAACGATCAATATTTACATGTTTCCGCTAGTATATGCGCGTTGTATTATACAAGCTAGTGATAATTTTTCGAGCAACATTCGAGACAGGTTATTCTACGATGTTAAAAATCGATCTTTTAGAATCGAATATAGGTCACTTTCAATTTATTTTCGATTCAATAGATTTAATCTTTTGTGATACTCTTCGATGAATTTTGACAAGTGCGCAAACAAACTTACAGAAACTTTATGTTCATCAGAATCAGATGATTTAGCTGGTGATATACTGTTTTGACTATTAGTATTAGACATTAAATCTTTTTCTGATCGTTCACGAACAAGTTCTTGTTGTAGACGATCTTCATTAAATAGAAGTGCTGGTGATCGTAGTAAACTACCATGCTGACATATTTCATCACGTAAACGAATATAATATTTTTGTAATTTAATTGAATCTTGGTAAACCTATAAGAAATAAAATATTTTATTAGAAGAAAAAGTAGAACAACAAAAGTTTACCTTTGAATGAGTTGGTCTTAATTTTCTAGCACGTTCAAAGACTTTAAATAGATCATTTTGAAAAACATCTAATCGACGATAACGTCGCTAAAAGAAAAACAAAAATAGTTATCATTTTTTCATAAACGAACTGAATACCTGATCAAGATTTTGTCTAATCAGATCAAATGTATATACAATATCAAATCTACAAAGTCATAAAAAAAAATTTTGTTTCTTTTTTTTTATTAATCCATAATTCTTCTTCTTACGGTTCATTTTCTGCTTGTTCAGGTAATTCTGAAAATGAATCACTAACATATTGACCATCTTGATCCTATTTAAAATAAAATCTTATGAATTCTTAAGATTAATAAAAATCAAATTACTTCATTATTAAATGTTTGTATGAATAAACAAATTAAAAGTTCACAAACTAAATTTTGTACATTATCATTCGATATAAATTCTCGCTTTTTTTCAATAAATAATCGTTGAAGATTCAATGCATCCTAAATATAACAAATAGAAATTTTGTTTTGTTTTTTAATAATTCAATCAGAGATCCATAGAGCTTTTTGGCATTTCGTAAATCTCTACTATTCTATTGCTCGATAAGTACATTTTAAAAGCGTTCCATGACTTTTTGGTGCAAGAGTTGAGGTTCTTAGCTTACTATTGCTGAAGCACTATATTTCTAAAGTGAATACTGTTCGTATCTCTAAGAAACACCAGGGAAATTCGTTGCCGAATGTTGACTTGAAACTTTGCACAGAGACAGATGTTAATGAGAATAGTTTATTGTGAGTTTGAGATCTTATGATTTGCGCATTTTCTGAAATAAGAATGTCTAATCTGTCAGTGTATAGAAAAAAAAAAAAAACCTTCATCATAGTTGTATGTTAGCATAGGTACACTGAAAATATCTTTTAGTGTACCTGAGGAAGATCATGATATTAACTAAAATAATAGGGTAGAAATGCAGCATTTTAGCTGCAATAAGCTAGCGATCTGAAATCTTTTCAGGATATTTATAGCTGATTAGCATCTACATGATGCACATAGTTCAGACTCCAAAGTGATTAATCAGTTGGAGAACTTCAATTGTCAGCCTCATCGGATTACGTCACTATTCAAGCCATGAGATAGTGCAATTATTAGTAGATGTGCTTTCTACCAACGACGTCTACATGAAATCTTGAAGCAGTCAAGAAATTCAGAATATTTTAATATCATATAGTCGAGAATTGAAGAAGAGATATAATTATCATATGCTTATTATGGACATCGACATAGTCTTGTCATTCTTCCAAAAACTACTTGAATGAAAATTATAGGAAATAGTACGAAGAAAAAATTTTCAGAAATTTTCCTACAGCAGGAAGTGTCTCATTTGATTGTAAACTAAATTTAGAATTTTTTCATAGTAAAATTATTGCATGGGATCAAAACTATGAATCAGATATGTAACTAAAACAAAATCTGCAAACAAAGTATGAGTCATCTGACATCATGTCATATGGGCATGCGCGAGAGTGTTGGGGGTGGGCACAAGACAACCCTATGGATCATTGAATTGAATATTTAATTACTCGATAAATCATTGAACCAGGTTCATTATATAACAATGCATTATCAAACATTAATTGTAAATCATTTGATAAATCATTAATTGAAGAATATTGTCGCAATTCAATACGTTTAAGATCAATAGGTTTTTGAATTATTTCATAATAATCTGGATAATCAATTTTTGATGGTAATGTTACAAATACTGTTGATAATGTTCGTCCATAACGATTTGTATAAGCTTTTATACATTGAATTAGATAAGAAATTTTATCTTGTAAAGTATTTAAAGGCCTATTTTTTTTAAAATAGATAAAAAAATTAAAATGAAATGAAATGAAAAACAAAATTTCTAAAAAATACTTTTTAGTTAATGTTCGATTTGATTGTGGTGTTCTTTCTTTTTTAATCAGTATTGTTTTACATTTATTTGCTAATGCTTGTTCAAGACGTGAAGCATATTTGAATATATAAGATTCATCAACATTATAAACTTTAGCATTATTAAACATTCGATTTAAATCATCAATAATATCTTGTTCACGTTTATACTAAAATTAAATAAATTTTATTTAGAAAATAAAACAATTTGCTGTTTTCGATTTATTTACAATTCCTTTATCAATTTTATCTTTTATTGTTGCCATATCAATAGGTTGTTCTATTGTTTCATAATAATCCGGATATTCTTCAGCTGATGGTAATTCTAAAAATGGTGCGATTAATCCAATATCATTTTCCTTTGAATAACAAAAAAAAAAAAAAACATAAATTAAGAAATATAGGATAAAGAAAAAAAACTTTAGTTTACTCGATATTCTCGAATAAAAGTATAGATTGATTGAATATTTTGTTCGGTAGTTTTTATAGGTTTTTTTGTTGGTCGATGTCGTTGAAACTAAAAAAAACACATGAAATAGAAATCAAGAGATTTAAAAAATATTCATTGTTTTACATTGGGTGATTGAGGACTCGACGATACTAAATATTCATCTTTGATTGTAATCTATAAGACAAAAAAAAATGATATCAAAAGATTAGAAAAATAATTTATTTTACCATTGGAATGTTAATACGAGCTTCTTTTAATCGTGGTTTTTGTTCATCATAACCAAGTTCATGAGCTTTGACTAAAGTAACATCTAATAATTTTTTAGCACTCTAAATATATAAATTGATTTAGATTAATGAAAGACATTGTTGATAAAATATTCTTGATTGTCTATATAAACAATGAAAGAATGTATCCGATAGGAATAATAGTTGATTAATTTCCTCTCATTTTCTTATCAATCTATCTATTTTTCGTTCGACATATTTACTTGCAAAAAATGAACTCAATTCTTATCGGTATATTATCTCGCTTCTATTTGTGCATGAGAAACATAAATTCATTTAATGTCTAGTCATAACGTAAATTGAGTAGGTTTTCCAGTTTAAAAACAATAAAGGTAACCAAGTACAAGTTCGAATTGAAATTAACTTTGTCAGTGTTAATAGATTTTTATCAACTCTAATGAAACTTCTGTTGAATATATCGAGAGAAAATGAAAAAAAAGCTGAAAGTAAAAAGATTGCTCACAGAAGCAGATGCAAAAGGATTTTCAAGAAGAAAAAAAATGATCTAAGGTTGAAGTTAAAGCGGAGTGACAAAACAAAATCAAGTTCTAGTGAGATTGAAAAAATACAATAGGAGCTGAAGCGAAATTAGAATAGCACATCGCCAATGTCGCTTATATCTAAAAAAGAATCAACTGGTTTTAATACTTCACTATGTAAATCTAATGTTATGACTTGTTGGCACGAAATAGTTCAATAATACTAGTGGCGCAACCGAAAAAAAAAACATTTAGCACGATTCCTAGAGGATTATAATCTGAAACACGATGTAGTTACTGTTACTAATCATATGGAGATCTTTGAATTTAATTCTCCATAAATATTATAAGGAAGTAGTTCATATGTTTTAACAACTCATTATTGATGTACGGTGTTTGATCGTATGTCAACTGTGTCTTTTGCGATCTATGGGAGGAAGGTATAAATTTTTACTTTAAATACGTCAGCACTCCTTTTAGTTTGTGTTTCAAAAGTGTTGTAGAGCGAGGGCTTAGTTCCTCGATCGTGTTTATAGAAAGGGTTGAAGCTATCTGGTAACGCTTCTAAAGGATCTGAACCGCCCTAGCTCTGCCTGATTACACCACCAAATAAAGCGACTACAGGCTTTAGTTATCCTTCTAGTACCTGTTTTCTGTGTATTGAGTAATAATACTGTCGCTTAAGTACAAGAAACATTTTAATTTTTTATTTGGATTTTAGTGCAATAGATTAATTGTTATATGAGATTTTGATATATTTCGAAAATTATATGAATTTGTGTTTTATAGATCACGACAGTCTAGATTAATAAGAATATTTTTTTTTCGTTTTGTACCTATTTAAGTTAAGATTGTTGTCCATACTATATGGGTCACTATAGACTCAAGTTTCAATGTTTTTCTGCCAGAATCTATAAAAGCAAATTTTCGTACATTTTTATCATTTCAAAGTTATTTAGAAATCGTCAATATACTAATTAATTTTCTGTAACATTTTTCATTCTATTTGACTGACTATGATAAGAAGATAGAGCAAATTTTAATATTAATACAATCTATTTAAACAAAATATTAAAACAAACCCTTTCAACTCACATTATATATCAATGATCCTTCTTGATTATATTGCATTGCATTATCAAACATTAATTTCAAATCATCTACAAGATCACCTAAATCTGTATATTTTCCTTTCTAAAACAATAAAATAAAGAAAACAATGTCTTAACTCGACATTTTTCATTCAATGTAAGATAATCTTTACTTTTATATGATTTTTAATTAAAGACATAGCAATTGGTCGTTTTATTTCTTCATAATAATCATGATGAAACCTTTTATTAGGTAATTTCATAAATGGATCGATTAAACTTTGAGCACCAAGTTTATAATTTCTAATACTATTATATAATATTCTATATGAATCATCTTCATCACCAAGAGAACTTGTTTCTGAACCAGCATCATCATTTGTTTGTTGAATTATTTCTTCATCATCGGGTTCTTCTGGATATTCCATATTTGCGACTTCCGATGATAAAAGAACATCACGTTTACAAAGTCTTTAAATGAAAGAGAAAAAAAAAATTAATTTAGAAAAAAAAAAACAAATTAATTAAAACCTTAATCGATCATTGGGTGTCTTTAATGCTGCATCAAGTTCATTTTTAACATTAGTAATAATTTTTTTCAATGCACATGCATCCTTAAAAAACAAATTAAAAAGTCAAAATAATAATTCAATTAGTTGTTGTCTTTTTTACTTTATAAATTTGTGATTTTGGATCATTATATTTTCTTGCATTAGAAATCATTAATAATAAATCATTCTCCATATCATCAAGTAATGAATATTCATTAGTTTGTATTTTAATTGCAATCATTTTTAAATCGATTGGCTTTGTTACTATTAAATAATAATCAGGATAAATCTATTGAAAGAAAAAAAAAAAAAAGACAAAATATATCAATTTCCTATTTTTCCTGCGTATAAAATTAAGAATGCAACGATGAGATTGCACCGTCCATTGATGTTACGTACAGCTTTGCACTAGCCTAAACATTAGGAAGCTCAGGGTCCACGTTTTTGTCGATTCGGAGCTGCAAATTAAATATGTATGTATAGACTATCAATGAACGAATAATAAAACTAGAATAGTCTTATACTGATTTCGATTTTCTTCGTCGGGAAGGATATTTTTTGAAAATAGGTCAAAGATCTTCAGGATAGGAAATTTATCGAAACTTTCGAGTTCGATTTTCTCGTTCGAGAAAGTCTCAGTTCTCACGATCTAGTCATGTTTTACAAAATTCAACTATTTTCTTGAAATGAACTTCTTCCGAACAAAAAATTCAAAATGAATCTAATATAGAAATCCTGCAGAACAGCTTGAAATTCTAAAAAATCTCATCTCATAGAACTCTGATCTAAGCTCATCGTAGTTTGATCAGGCATTAATCATCACTGTTGCATCCTTATTTAGAATATAATGAAGGAGTTTTTTCTTACTTTTCGTGAAGGTAAAAATAAAAATATATCCGTTATTGGACGATTATCAATTCGAATATTGTAAATAGCTGTAAAAAATTCTTCAAAATAATAAGAATCAATTGACTGAGATTTTGCTTTTGAATAAAAATATTTTGCTAATTCATTTGCATCTTTCCATTCCATAGAATTTTTCTAGAAAAATAAATAATATGATTAAAATATTTAAAAAAAATTTTTTGATTTACTCGATAATAATTTTTAGCATTATTTATAACTAACTCAATATCATCAAGAAATTGTTCGAAAGAATCATATTGATCTGAATGAATTTTTTGTTGAATTTCAGTTAAATCAATTGGTTCTTTTATTGAAGTAAAATAATCGGTGTTTGCCCTACATTTATAAATAATTTTGATAAAAAAAAAAACTTTCATAAAAGAAAACCTTTTGCTTGGTAATTGAATGAAATTTTCACAAAGAAGTCTGCCATCTTCAGATTTGTACGATTGAAAAGTATCGTAGTATTCTTGGCAAAGATTATTCTTTAAAAAAACAACAAGAAATAGAAAATAACGATTAATAGAAAAATTGACATACTAATTCAGTTGCTTTCCGAGTACGTTTTGATGTACTGGTTGACTCATTGCTATCATCACGGTCGCTAGCACTGTGAACGCGCTTTGGCATTTAATTACAAATGTAAATTATAAAATATTTAATAATGTATATGATCTATCGTATATTAGAATGAAATAAACAACAGTATAATTTTTTTGAGCTAGCCAAGGCTCTACGTTCTCGTCAAATGATCGACCAATTGGTACTGAAAGCTTTCTCGAAAATAGAAAGCGACATCTATTGAGAAGTGAAAGCTGATTGATGGGAATTATTCATCTTTATTCTTCACCTATCAGTCAAGAACTGATTACATAAGTCTAAGTTCAAGTTAAAAAAAAATTGAAAAATCATTTGTATTATTATCTATAGACGTATGCATACAAACTTAAGACATGATTAGTGTAGAATATTTGATTTAGAAAAAAAGAAGATCAACTAGTAAAATTAAAATTTTGAATGTCTCTTAGGAATTATTATCAAATAGAAATAATTTAAAAAAGAATATAATTGTTCTTGTCTATGATCCAGACATGTTCATTGCAAAACATTCAAAACATGTTTTAAATGTCATTGTTATTACTGTGCTGTACTGAAATAGCTGTGACATGAGTTCTTGATAATGAAATCTTGTACGAATTCTTGACATTTTTACATTAGAATAAAAGCTAAACGATTAGATAAATTTCATCAATAAGAAATCGAATGCTTAGTTGTATTTATTCCAACAGAAAGAATCTTTCTTTTCATAACTATTTACAGCTTTAAGAAGATTTTGTTTTGTAGATAACATACCAAAGTGAAACTAATTTGTTAGTTTGAAATCCATATTTGTACTTTTAACATACCAAAAGTAATAAGACTATTATTGTATCAAAGTAAAGAAAACTTGAAAAAAAAACAATTTTGTGCATTCATATTTATCGTATTGATAGTGTATTATTATTATATTTGTACATTGTATGATTAGTATTTAATATCAAAGTTCGAACTGCACTGAACAGAAAGAGGCAATTAGAACATGATGAATGATATTTTTTGTTTATGACAACCAAGCTGTCTTTTACAATTTAGTTACGAAACAAAATGATTTGATGAAGATAGTTAAGTAAACTAAACATGACCCACATTTTGTCTGTTCTCCGTATAGAATTTCTCTTCATTCACACCTATTAATAATTATTCCCGAGAATTGAAAAAGAAGAAGAAAAACGAACGTTAAGTTCAAAATGAAATAAGACGAGATAATTGATTGTTCAACAATCATTATATAGAATCTCTTTCTTTTTTTTTACTTATGAATTATTGAGTGACTAAGCGCAAATACGATGCAAATATAGATTAATACATTGATTCTATTATTGTGTTGTTTTAGATGTTTCTCTTGAAAAAAGAGTTTAAAATATTCAAAACTCCAGTTATAGAATTTGAGTTCTAATGTATTAATTCAAAGAAATAAATAAAATATTTATTGCTACTTTGAAATCTATCTTACATATTCAAATACTTGTCCATCACATCTAATAGTTTTGCTTCTCACTGTTATAATATCAACAATCGTTGACAATACTTTATCAATAAATTAGAAAACAAAAATAAAAAATCTCTTATACATGCTGTTAAATATCACCAAGCTAATACGAAATCACATGTTCATAAAACTATGTCAAATCGAAAAGCCATGCACAGGCAAAAATAAGTTTATTTTACGATTGTTTCTTTTTGCTATCCTCTCAACTTATTATCATGTATACATTCGTTTGTGCATATTATGTTGCTTACCTGTCATTTTGTATTTATTTCAAAGGAACCTGTTTTTTGTAATATTCAGAGAATACAAACAACAATGTGAAAAAGAAAAATATCCTACTTTGATTATTTTATGGAGCCAATAAGCTTCACAAATAGTTACCTACTCTATTACCAATAATCGACGATAATACAGTTCTAAATCGAGCCGTCAATCTCACTCAAAATCTTTTTCGTTCGACTATTTAAATTGTGTATGCACACACCACTAACCCCGTTGCTATGGTATAAAATAATGCCACATGCGATTAGTATGTGATTAGTATTACATGTATGGATAGCTTGGACAGTCGAACCAGAAATTCTAGTGACATTCTCGTTCCAATTCAGAACTGCATCATCATCAATAATTGGTGATAGAGTCGGTGACCATTTGTGAAGCTTATCTACTACAGAAAACAACAAAATAATATATTTTTCTTTTCATTGCTGTTTGTGTTCTCTCAATATCATCAAAAACGGATCACTTTGAAATAAATACAAAGTAACAGGTAAATAAAATATAATACGTGCATACAAATGTAGTTAACTTTGTTACCTGTACAAGGACATATGAATGGATATATGATAATAATACAAGTGGGTGGGAAAAAAACAATCACAAAAAGGCATTTATTTTTGTGCGTGGGACAGTATCACAATAATTCGATAGTCATGAGATTCTTCAGATACTGAACTATCAACATTTTCGATGCATAACATAATGTAAGTTTTATCTCCAGAATTTCTTTAAGTATTATTAAACATTGAAAAAAAGTATGATCCAATATAAACCAATATTTTAATTTTGCTGCCTAGTTCAACGATGTATCGAGAATTCGTAATAGTCAGATTTTTGTTGTTCGAAATGTTTTTTTTAGAAAAAAATAGTTTTCATATTCGATAGATAATACATAACATGGTTAATATAATAGCTAAATATTAAAAGAATTTACCCATATTTTATCATAAATTAATTGTCATTCATGCACTTATGATATTATTAACAAAGAATGTGAGAATACGTGATTGTTTTCTCCGAGAACTTACTAAAATAGATCGTACTGATTGATAAACCTAACAAAATGCTACTACTCTTCAACTATGTTGTGTCTGATAGTTCTATATATATCTTTATTACATACTTGTTTGATGATGCTACTTCGATCTAAAATGAAAAAAGTCTCAAAAGGCTGTCTATGTATCAAGTACAAAAGTCATGCTCAAACTGCTGTTTACAAAACATACCTTTGTGATTTGCAAATGTTATAAGCTCATCTGAATAGTTGCCTATGGATAATATTAGGAAATAATTGAAATCATTGAACAATCTTATATACATTCTCGTAAAACAGATGTTTTCACAAACATTATTTTAAAATAATATTTAAAAGAACTATTTCTTTATCTTGTGGTTTAGGTTGATTCATATTATACATATTGATACGAAAGAAACGATCTGGAGTTCAATAAGAAGAACCAAGTACTGCATGAACCATTAATAAATACATAAATGCTAGGTTAATAATAGTTAGTTATCTACTTTTCTTTTATAGTTTATATGATTTCGTCAAGGAATTGATAAGTTTACATATGAGAATAATATTTCGCTAATGATAATAACACCTTTCAAGTCTATTTGATATTGCGTTTTTTTAACAAATAATTTTTTTGTTATTCTTTCGCAAAATTGAGCTTAGCCATTTTATAATCATGCCGATTTATCTACTGAAAAAANGTTTTGAGAAAAACGGAAAATAAGTTTTTAAAAACCTTATTTTTTCAATATGGAGGTTCAGAAAAACCTATGCAATATCCTCAAATCTCATGATAAAATCAATCAACTATAGTGCATTCGAGAGTAGACACTTTGCTCTATCTAATGAGTTATAAATCACAAAATCGATAAATTTGACCAAAATTGACTTTTCTGAGGGAGGGGGGTGGGGGGACTTAAGTTGATTTTGGAAGACTGAAGAAAATCAAATGCAGATTATATAAATTTGCCATCAGACACCTTCACGTATGCTGAACAAAGAGATATTAAACATTTTTCATTCCTAGTTATTTAGATAGTTTGTTCATTGCTTTTTTTTTGGCAATTCTTTCCTTTATCGAAGGATCTATATGATGAAGAGAGAACATTCAAGAATATGCTGACTTATGCAGGTAATATATATCAAATGCAAAGTATTAATCGTAAGTCATAATGATGTCAATCAGATTTCTTTTCTTATCCATGTTGTACTCCGGTATAGAAAATTATTCAAAGAAGAAATTAAATAATGAATGTAACAGTTTTAAAATATGGGGTTGTCATCAAATATTGAGTGCGTTTAAAAAAACCAATTAAATACCAAGTAAACGAATAGTCTTAGCTCTTTATCCAAACGAATTCATCTTATTCATGTGTGATAAGATACAAAAAAATTCATTAGAAACTCAACATAGATAACAACAAACGTGCACTGCTATTATTCGACTAGTTTGTGATGATTTTTATGTTTATCTTGCATCGAGGTATTGAAAATTAGTAGAACGACAAGATACATTTCTTTTTACTCAAGATACCCTGATGTTATGTTTCTTTAATTTGAGTTCATGAAGGTTCAATAACTTTAATCTGAAGAAGAACTCATTATTTTGAATATATTTTTATTTCAAACGTATGATGCATAAATTCAAAATGATGATGAACACTTTGTATTAGATGCTAAATTATATCGTATATATTCAAAATATTGAAGCAATGGAAGATTCATCAAACGATAATAGAGAATAGAATTGAAGTTACAATAAATAATCTTACACCTTTTCCATCCTCAACTACCGAAATATATGACACAACTGTTTTGTGTGAAATCTGTCATTGTAATATTGAAATGATGATCGTCAAATATCTGAATCATTTTCATTTTGTTTAACAATATTAAATGCTGAATTAGATTCCTATTTTTCGTGAAAAATAAGCTAAAAGATGTTTTGAAATGTGGAAATAGAATTTTGGAATCCTCCCATCACCAACACATAGACTGTAACAGTCACATTAAAAACGTCACTCTTTTCTCGTGAACCACAACAGGCATACTCTCGAGGTCGAAGTCTACTACAACATTAGTATGAAACACAGTTAAATTTAAGATAGTTATCCTTAGCTCTTCTTTCACGCTGACTGTAATTTAGTACGATTATTTTCTTTCATCATCGGCATGTATTAACAGTAGGTAGTAATTCACAAACTGAACCCCATGTTAATCAATTCCTTCTTTTATAATGTCAGCAGCTTCATCATCTTTCACATTTTCATGCCTCACAAATAGCACTAATAATTCTTTCATTTATCTATTCATAATTAGACTTTTTTTTCTACATGAAAAGTTTGTAATAAATGAGAAAGTTTGTCAAATGATTGTTCATCAGTTAAAATTTGTTCTTTTTTTATTGATGATATATCATCAAGTAATTGTTTTTGTTGTTTTTCAATATCATTCCACATTTGTTCATTTGTTTCAATAAATAATTGATCAACAGCTTTTGAACCATCAGTAATTTGTTGATAAAGATCATGAACAATTTCATTGAATTGATCAATATGAATTTTAAATGTAAATAAAAATGATTTTAATGAATTATCTGTTTTTTCATTATTCATACGATTGAATTCTTTTATTATATTTACTAATGGTTCATAAAGATGTGTTTGTAATTGTTTATTAAATGATTGTTGTCCAGTTGATAGAATTTGAATTAAATTTTGTATATATTGACAATGAATATTAGTTAATGAATGACGATAAAATGATAATTGTTTATTTTTTATATTTAATTCTAATTTTAGTAAATTTATTTCATGATTAAATGAACATATAAGTGAATCTATGATTGATTGTAAATAAAGTTTTATATTAGGTGATAAACGAAATTGAGAATTAATTCGTTGACAAATTAGATCTGTTGTTATTTGTTCAGGAGCAAATAAACATTTTTGATGCTTAAAAAGAGAAAATAAAAATGAACAAAGATCAACATATTTCAATATTTTATTATGACGAATGTTAAGAATAGCTTATTTTTGTGATTTAATTCGACAAGTAGGAATCATATTTTTAGCATTCTCACAGTACACATTCATAGAAAAAATAGTTTTATTATTAGAACTAGATAACAAGATTTGATGCTTTAATTCGAAGCATTTTGCCACAACGACAACAATTCCACTTCTTAACAAAGGCGAGATCGGTTCGGTTGCACAAAATACGAACCAATCCCATCTCTTTTTTTTAAGCTTCATTCATATTTCAGCTAATGTTCATAAATGAAGCACAATCTAAAAGGGGTGTTGAAGTACAGGGATAGGAATTTGGACCTTCTTCTTCCCATGCAGATGTGATGGAGATGTTAGCAACGCCTCGACACTGTTATAGACATAACTGCAAGGGCAGAGTCCACTTCAGGATTAATATTATATCTGTCATCTACTCTTCTTTCACACTTGCTTCAATATATTGCGATTAATATCTTTCATCATTGACATGCATTAACAATAGATAGGAGAATCCTTAAACTGAAACATATACTGATTGATTCCCTTTATTACAAATCTATCAGCTTCATTGTGTTTCACATTTTAATCCCATAGGGATTGTGCTAACAGCTTTCTTTGAACAATTGATTCGTATAATTCAGAACTATTTCACAAAGAATTATTCTCGACATTAACCAGTAAGAAGATTTTGTTCTCGAAGTTCGTTTCCTTTCCGTAACAAAAGAATACATCATTGGTATTCTAGCTCTAAATGTATAAATAGAATATTTACTCTGGTTGGAACAAGAATTGATAAATAAAAAAGTTCATTAGTTGTAATATTTATTTTATTTGATAATTCTTGTGAACATTTAATTAAATTTTTATTAAGATCAGGAAAAATTGAATGATTTGTTTGATCAAGTAATTCATTTTGAAATGAGCGAAGATCAGCATGAAGATTATATAATGAACTCTCTAAATTAGCCTTATTAAAAAAAGAACAAAATAAGACATGAAGAATTACAAATATGTTAATTTAGCTTACAATATTCTTCAAATTAAGATGTTCGATTTTTCCTGAACATACATCAAGAAGATGAATTGGCTCGTGATTAATAAATTTTATACTATTAGGTGCATATAGAGTATCACTATCCGATAGACTTGCATGATCCTATATTAATATTTTTGAAAAACCAAGATAAATGTTTATTAATTTATTAATACCTGCATTGATTTGAATGATTTTTTTCGATTACTTTCAATTCGATCAATCCATGTCTGTATGAGTATTTCATCAATACGTTCCTTACGAGAAATTTTACCTTTGAGATCTCTATACAAAAATATGTTAAATGAATAAACTGGATGAATAGATTTGTTCTCACCCTAAAAATTGATTCAGTTCTAAAAGAATTGTTTCACATGTTGCTACTGCTTCTCTTTTACAATCGAGTAAACGTGTTAGTAAAGCAACTTGTTTTTCAAGTGAATAAATTTGATAACGAAAATGTGTATAACGATGATTTTCATCAATTGGTATTGAAAAAATTTTTTGTAGAGCAATTATTTCTTGTCGGAGACATACATTTTCAGCTTGAAGATTCTGAATGAAAACAAAAAAAAACAAAAAAAAAATAAAAGTAAAAACGAGAATAAAATCAAACCTGAATATATAACCTGAATAGAATTTAATTGAAGTTTGGATATTTTTGGATTAGTCGAAGAAGTTGATGAACGACGAGATGATGAAGAAGAAGACATAATAGAATCTAAAAATAAATAGACCAGCGTAGTAAAGATTCTACTAGTATTAGTATAAAATTATATGTTATTTATGGTTCGTTTGTTCTTGAAAAGAATATCGAAAACATAATCTTCTCATAGCAAATGCTGTAATTGACATGAGCAACAAATGAAATGAATGGAAATATAATTTTATACATATTCATTCGTTTCCTGTGCGTACTATAAACTAGAATTCTGTCGAGTAGGTTCAAAATCTGAATCTGGTTCTGAAAATTTTCTTTGGATTGATATCAACTCGATGGGTACTACTCTTAAAATAAAAACTAATCATTTCTTAGGTCCTATAAGATTACCGTCAATATTGCCTGAAAAATCTGTAGGGTATGTCANTATGATAAAATTGTATAAATAAAAATAAAGATATTATCATATATAACTAGAATACGTTTCATATTATCTTGAGAGAAAATTGAAAAGTATTTAATCAATGAACATCGTCTGTTATATTTATCGTCTTGAATAAAACTAAATTAATGTTAATAGTTAATGACTTTGAAGATTTATATCACTCGAATTTTTCGATAACTTTTAATTCAAATGCAAATATTGACCTTGAATATATTTACCTTGTCATTTGCAAACCAAAGTGTGATTCATTTATGCGTAATTTTCATTTTCTCTCTAATTATTCCGAAAACTTACGAAAGACATGATATTATCGTAGTTGACTTTAAACCATTAAAATCAATTAGTACAATGTTGTGACTATTTTGATTTTTTAGAATTTTTTCTATAATCAATCTTTTTGTGTATGCTAGAATTTTTCTGTGTCATCTACAATATTTATATACAAAGTAGGTCGTAAATAGCTATAACATTGAAAAGTAAAACATCTGCACTTCTATTTTATCCAGTGGGCTGATCTTGTTTTCATTGATGACACAGACATATTTAAAAAGTCTTTCTTTTGTTTCATACGACTAATATGATTAAATGTTATTTGCAAGTATCATTATTGACATCATTGAAGAAGTGTAATTTGTCGTCAAGAAATACGATTACATGTGAAGCGACGCATAAATAATGTTTAGTTGTCAATTAAAACAATAACAAGGAAATGTTGAAACAATCATTATTAATGATATTGCATTAATGTAAATACAACCAATTTTTCGAACTAGTTCATTTATGTATAATGGAGTCCTTCAGGCACCAATCAAAAAATCAATGCTGTATGCTGAAGAGTTTGATTGATTTTTTGTTCTTGACTTTTGAAATTAATCAGTTCGAAAAGTTTGTTGTATGTACATCAATGTAATATCATTCAACTGATAATGATCTTTGCGTTATGTCATATGTAGTTTTCTTTCTTAACAACAGGCTACACTTTATTGAAGTCAATTTTGTTGTTTTCAACCAATGTTTGTATGATAAAGAAAGGAAAGCACCTTCAACAAATCTGTATTACAAATAAAAGAATTCAATTCATTCGATTGAATTGAAATGAAAGTATTCGAATTTTTCATCATAGAATTATTTATAGTTTACCGTGTATATAGGTTGCACATTCTTCTTTGTTTTTCATGTCTTTTATTAGTTAACTATTCTTGTACATCAATGTGTTGAAATAAATTAGATATTTTATAATTTGTTTTACTCGTTCAAATATAGTTTCAGTATGATGGACAAAACAAAGAAAGAAAAAATTTCATAGATGAAAAAACTCGAATAATTTATAGCATTGATTAAAAAAAAACAGATTTATTAAATATAGAAACAGAATAGAATGATTCAAATATACATTTAAGCAATATGTTACTCAAACATAATATGACGGAAATGGTTGTGTGGGCAGCGGTGTAAATGTGAGTCTTCTTTCAATCCTACACCCACACTTCCAGTCGTTTTCTATTCCGTTTTTTACAATAGATGTTTTTCCTTTCTTTATTTGTTCATGCATACATAATTGCAATCTGTTACAATAGTAGAACTAGTTTTTGAAAATAAATTCTTATTTTATTTTAAGTTTTACTCTTATTAATATATTCATTTTGAATTTCAAATTTCCATATTTCCAGTATCATAGTTTTTTTTAAAGGGAAAATCATTACGTAACTTGAGTCATAATGGTTATAGCAATTTCAAAAGGATTCTATTACGCATCTATTTAGTATTAAATCGAGCAAACAAGATATCAATTTTTTAATGAAAGCAAATATAAGAAAATACGAATAGATTTGGTTTCCAAATTTAAACACCATCTAGAATCAGACATTGTCGTTCTTTCATCATTAATGCATAAGAATGTTATATTCCTACATTAATCAAAACCAGATGGTTTTAAACTTAAATTTTCTGTTTTTTTATTAAATTAATTGAAAAAACTCATAAAATAAAAAAGAAATTCAATATATTTAGCATGTATTCTTTTCTGTTTGTTCCACTTGTTTATTTCATGTTAATCATTTTTTAAGTTTTTTAATTTATTTCCGTGATCTTTTCCCAATTACTCACCTTAGCTGATCAAAGATATCAAATTACATCAATATATATATATATGGATTTTAAAATTATTTCTTTAGTTTAAGATTTCATGAAAGTTTTTTTTTAAACAAAAGCAATGAATTTTTACTATTTCGTAACTTACGTAATTACTTATAATTTCTGCTTACTTAAATTTCATTTTTGTTCTCTTTGTTCTTTGTTGGATAAAAAACAAAATATTTATGACTATTTTACGTTACTTTTATTTATAAAACGGTCGAATACTTACCATATTTCTTTTGCAACCTTTAGATAATGGTTGATATACAACATCAACATCAATGCTCGTCAAAGGCTATCGCCTACAATACGACAATGTTTTACAAACCACGAAAGACATATTTAATCATTGATATCGAACCTTCAGTCGACAATAGACAACGTACAAATGATGATTCATATTCTTCAATCTTCAAAAATTATATATCTAACAGTAAGTAAATATTGATCTTAGCAAGTTGTGCATATTTCATTGAAGTAGTTTTGTTGTATAATGTTTGCGTTGCTGTGTTGTTATGACTAATACTGATAAGATGCCGTAGAAGGACGTTTCTCGCGACGGTTCTGTTTTTTTCTTTTTCCTGCATATAAATAAGGGCTGAATCGGTAAAAACAACTACTATGGCGTATTGGTGATGTTGTTGTTCTTTTTCTTTCAGTTAATTGACGAATTTATAAACAAATAGAAAAACAAACTCTTAAATCTTTTCAATGAATATTAACAAATACTAGAAAAAAATGACTGTGTCAGAATTTGTTACTGATGAAACAGCTGTTGTAATAGTGTCATTAAATATTTCTCAAATGAATGACACTATTAATCGAACTCTCTCAAAAGTTTTTATGAAAAGTAATAATTTCGAGGCTTTTTTTTATCGCAAGAATATAATTAATCATATGATATTATTTTAGGACCAAGTGATGATTCATCAATTAATAATATTATATTTGGCATTGGTCTAGTTGTTGTTATTTTACTGTTACTTTTAATAATTATTAAATTAATTTATAAATGTTATAAAATGTATCATGGTACTGATGATGATGATCATGAAAAAGAACAAGGTATGCTTGAGATAAAAAAAAAATTCTATTTTTATTTATTAACATAATATTTATATATTAGTTAAACGATCACCTCTATTACCTTTGTCATCATCCGACGTTGTTCGTCGAAATTCATCTTTACGTAATCCAACACCATCAATGCATCGATCAAGTCTCAATATTGAAACTCAAATGGATATTCAAAGAAAACGTTTATCTCAAACATACAGTAATACCCCACCACTTATAAAAAAATCTTAATGTTGTCTACTTTTATTATTTCAATAAAAAAAAGAACCCGCTGTTGTTTGTACTTATAGTTTTTTTATATTTTTATCCTTTTATGTTTTTTGTTCCATTGATGAAAAATATGCGCCGATTAATGTGGCAAATATAAACGAATATGCCCGTCATATGGCTTTTATTTTTTTTTGACGACTATATATACACACACACACACATATATATCTGTATAAACAGACAATTGAAATATTTTGGTTGTGTCGCTATGTTGTTCTATTCTGTTGTTTTCATTTGTTTCATAAGTCATCCGTTATTTGCTGTTGACTTAAACATTTATAATAGTGTAACGGAAATTCGACAAAACCAAAGTGGTATTGGTGCTTATCAATATTATTTTAAAAATGATGAATATGCGAATATAATCGATGGTTCAATTAGTTGGGATGGGACACCATTTGTTAAACAAGAACTATTTAATACAATTGATACACTTAAAGATGCTTCAGTTACAGTACGACTACCAACTTCATGTAATTGTCAGAGTATAGAAGCAAAAATTGTCGATCCAAGTACAATGTTGTTAAGAAATTTGGATACAAAAGGTTATTTTTATGCTGATAGTCGTTCTATTGAATACAAATCTACAAGACCCGATGATAGTGGTACAACTTTAAAATTTGAATTTAAAAAGAAAGACACAAGTTATAATGGAACATTATCATATTTAATGAGAGGAATATCATGGTCGCCAAATTATGATCTATTTATTAAAGATGTAGATAGTGAGTTCTTTTTATAGGTTGACCTAAAAAAAAACGAAGACATTTTTTTTCTTTTTTCTTTAAGCTTGTAATCTACAAGCTTATGCTAATATTCGTAATAATCAACAACAGGAATATCAAGTTGATAATACTTATTTATATAGTGGTGATATTCAATTACTGAATCATTACGTACCAGAAATGAATTTTCCAATAATGCAAAAAGGACAAGCAGCAGAAATTGCTAGTTCACCATCTATTCAACTTGGTGGTGAACAAAAAGGTTTTTATTTTTATTCATTAAAAGATAAATATACTTTACGTTCAAGAAGTTCAATTCGTTTACCATTTATAACTGTTAATCCTGTATGTAAATTTTATTATAGAACAGCAACAAGTATTGGTAGTGGACAAAATAAAGGTGTATTTCAACGAAACTATGATATAATATCAGATCAATTTTTACCAGCTGGAATTGTAACTATCCGAGATAATCAAGTATTAATGGGTCAATCAAGTTTACCTGATGTTCCGGCATATTATCCACAAACAGTTACACTAGGTCAAGATAATGATGTTCAATATTTAGTAAAAGGAAATGTAACAGCATCAAATAAAGACACAACGACGATTACTTGGCAAACATACGAACTTAATTTGACAATATTCAATTATAAAGATAAAGATGTCAATGGTCAACTTGATTTTTATGGAGCTAGTCAAACACATATTGATAAAACAACATGTAGTTCAGCTACAGTTGAAGGAAATATGATTAATTTACCATTTCAACTTAAAAAGGGTGATAACTATCAATGTCGAATTACTGTTACTCTAAAATGGGAATAAATTGGAGAACAAACAAAAAAAAAGAAACCAGGTGATGGGTTAAAGAAATTTTTTGAAAATTGTTTGTTCGATATACAAATTAAATAAATATAAGAAATGGACAATTGAATGGTTTTTCAAATTTGTTGATAATAATACCAAATTACTCAATACTTTCATTTTTTCAATGTGTTGTACTTAAAGGATACTCTACAATAATTGATGATAAATTGTCAATGATATTATTCAGTTTTTCTTGACGTAGAAAGCTGAAATTTTTATTCCATATAAATTATATATCTAGCAAAGATCTTTAATTTTCCAAAGTTTCATTTCTCTACCTAAAACTAGTGTTGAAATACATAGGCAAGATTACCATACGTGAATTTTCATACTTGATTTTTGTGAAATCTTTATTTTTTGACTATTGAGATTTATAAAGATTTAATGGAAAGAAACTTTAGAAGAGAAATTTTTGCAAAAACATAAATTACAATAAAATTCAATTAATATGAATATACTTTGCATTGCTTTCTATGACACATTGTAATTGATAAGATATTTTATCTATGATTTTTCTTTCGAAAATTTTCTTCATTCTTGTGCATTTTCCTTTTCTAATTGTAATCCTGTATCAAATACTTTTTCGTGAACTTTTTTGTTCAGTACATTCGATACATTTTCAATTCTTTGTACGTCAACAAATGTGGCATCGCTATCTACTAATTCTACAAGTTCATTTAATAACTGTGCTACGAGTCATGCGACGAATACTCCATGTTATTTTGAGATGATTTGAATTCAGTACACATCGCTTGTGATTTTTTCTTTTTTCGTAACTGATGAATATTTAAGATAAAATTTATGATTAAATCTAGAAGATTTCAGATATAAATGTATTCCGATATATTTTCACAAACATTATATGTCATAGTCATATAACAACAAGTGACAATGTCAAAAATGCTAAAAAGTCAATGGCAATGAAAAATAATAACAAAAATTGAATTTTTAAATTTTTTTAGATTTCCTGATCTCATGAAAAACAATTTTCACTCAGAGTCCTGCATTGTGTTGGATTGATAAATTCAACAAATCCGCTATAGACACATCAACTACGGCAGCTGTTTCTTTTGATCACATATACTAAACCGATGATACAGAGGAGTCGTTCAAATTATCCTGCACAGGATAGAACTTGTCAGGTTCACTAATTCGACCTGATGCAGTACTCTGTTTTAATTATTGATAAGTTTTGCATTTTCTTTTTACATCGTAAGATTTTTCTTCTCGAATTTTACATTAGTGTATAGTATATGACGAAGTGGTATGTTCGTATTGAAATAAATGGGACACCATGACGAATAAAATCCAAATGAATCCTGAATGAGCAATAACATACGGAACGATACATGGAATGTAATATGGTTAGACCTTAACAGACGCCAACGACCTATTTTTTTCCACGAACATTATAAAATTTGTATTCAATTGAAGTGTATGATTGCTAATAAGGCGTCACATTGTTTTATACGAAGAGGAAGGTAGAAAAAGAGAGCGTCATATGTATGCAAATAATAGATGACGCAAAGACCAACCGCTCAAACAATAGTAATAGTAATGTAGAGGTAACAAATAATGTATCAAGAGCAATGAGAATGAGAGTACCTATTGATGAAGTAGGTCATCTTTTTCTTTTCAAAGTGATTATGAATGTTTTGCATGGAAAGAAAACAATTAGAAAATTTCATCTAACTATCGATTGCTTGTACTAACGATGGAACTTATTGAGGTGCTACAAGTTTTTCCAATTGGGAAGATTATGGTTGGATTGTACATAGCAAGAAGTGTAGTAACCTAAGATGGTTTGAGTACAAGTTGCTTTTAAATGAAATTATGAATTCTCTAAGTGAGAAGCAAAGCCTTTTATTATGTTGTTGAGTCTTAATTTTCTCGAAGAAGTAAAGTTGTATTAGGCTGAAACTTTTTGCTACGTCTATCCGAAAAAAGTGAACTTGAACATCTTTAAATTTCAGCTCAAGACAAAGAAATTTTCCAAAATTTCCTTCCTAATCTTTAAAGTTTCATATTTCGTGGCTTAATGAAAAAAGCTTCATATGATCGAAGTCTTCATAGTATGGTCAAGTAAAGCCAGACTATCTATTTTGTAAAACATCTTAACTTGTTCTCTCCTCTTTTTATCAATCTGGAAAAAAAAATTTTGTAATAAGACGTTTATCTCATTCTTCTTATATGTATATACAAGTATCAAACAAAAAGTAGATAAGAAAATCTAGAAGGATCCTATTCTCATTTATATGCTGCTCCAGTGGCTGTGGTATGCCTATAGTGATGCAAAGAATAAAAGAATGAAAATGTTATATAAGGAAGACAATATACTTTGTCATAGTCTAACGATAAACAATAAGTGCAATGAATTGAATCTCACAATTATTTCAGGAACAAGCGTCTGGTCTTAGAGATTTCTAATTCTATCACCACTTATTCTATCTCATGAAAGAAAAGCTTGATGATCGATTATGCCATGTATCTGAGTTAATACATATAAGTATTTCATATAATCAAGAGAAGAAAACCATTCTGACCTACAACAGATCTACCAATGAAATAGACAGCTACAAAAATTCTGATCATACATGTAGTATTTGAAACCTCAATTCAAATAGAGTAGAAGTCTTTAATAACTAAAAAGATTCAGTTTCAAGCACAAAAATGCTTCATTGTTGAGGTAATACAAGAGAATGATCCAGAGAGTACTTCAGCAATTGATCGTGCTACGAAGTCTTGAGATACATGTTTATACTGATTTAGAGTGCTACCCGACCATTGAACGATTAATACTTGAATTTGTAGTACTCAACAACTGAATGCTTGAAACTGATTAAATCAAGTTTGCTTTACTATACAAGTATTAATAAAACATGAAAAGTTACAAGATTATAAAAAAAAAAAACTATTTCTTCTTAGCTTCCTATCTTTTTAAGCTGAAATTTACAAATAATCAAGTTCATTTTTTAGTATGCATATAATAAAAATATCAGTCTAATACAACTTTACTTCTTCCAGAAAATTAAGATTCAAAAGCAAAATTAAAAGCTTCGCTTCCCACTTAGAGAATTCATAATTTCGGTTATAAACAATTTGAATCCAAACCATATCTTAGGTTATTTCACTTCTCGCTATGTTCAATTGAACCATGGTCTTACCAATTGAAAAATATTTTTCGTTTATCAAATCATATAAAGTATTTTAATCAATAATGATCATTTAGTTCATACTGTTCGGTCACTTTGAACTATAGTCATTATTGATTATGTTGCACACAAACATAATGGAATTTCCGCTTATAGATCCTGCTCTTTTAGCCTAGAGAACATTTCTAAATAAAGATAATTTCATTTGAAAGCA